AACGGTTTTATACGTGAAATGTAATGTTATTAATCATTTATGGGCAAGTTTAATTTGTATATTTCGCGTTTTGAACCGTTAACAGTGTTCTCTATTAATGTGTAACTGTAACTACAGACAGAACTCGACTAAATATATAAAAAGGAATAAGTGAAACAGAAGTATTGTAATGGTTTAATACTATAATGAATTAGAGATTAAGACGCAGTGTCTACAATAGATACAGTCGTGGAAAATATAAATATGCGGGCAATAGGCGTTATACAAATTGAAAGGCAAATTAATTGACTCGACTAACCGAAGTCAATGTTTCGGCTTTCGAGTCAAATAGACAATATTGTCCAAGGCCTTTTCTTGCCTTGGAAGTGAAACGATTGTTCTATACATTAATTACGTATTTTAAGACAAAGGTGTGTAAGTGCATAATGATGTCTAAATGTTACCTAAGTTATTTAGTCAAGTGAATTTTCTTTATTAGTGTGAGCCTTTTTCATCTTAATCTAACGAAACTCCATTCCTAACCAATAAGCTTGAAGCGGCCAACTTGGGGGGGGGAGGGAGATGTATTTTGTTTTATGTTTACAGGAGGGCAGACAAGCATGGTGTTCTTTTGTTTGTATGTGATATACCCCAGCCTGTAGCATCTAAACAAAATGCGCTGTCGACCTTCTTTGACTTTGGATATTCGGAAATCCACAGACTGAAATGGAAACGCGATTAAGCTTCACGGCTTTTTCATCTGTGGACGGTGGTTCGTGACCCGGACGGGATTACAATATTCTTAACACCACTTAAATATCCAGATTTCCATACAAAGTCCAAAGTGACCCGGAAGGGATCGAACCGACAGCCAACACGACACGTTGATTATTAGACACTGTTACCAGTAGACCAACGATCCCGTCTTTTAATTCGCAGTCAAATTTTCTTTGTTTTCTACGCAAGTGTCACATATTAATAAAACAGTTTAAAACGGGGAATATTTTATTTATAGTGTGATGCTTTACAGCAAAAGAGACCCATGGCTAAAGTATTCGAAATGTGGGGTTGTATCTTGTAATACTATTTTTTAAATATTAGTATCAGTAATATATATGTTGCCTTTAAACAAGTAAAGTAAAAAGTGTGTTATTTCACACTTATTTTACAGCACTATAGTCTTTGAGTATAAGTAACAAGTATTAACTATAAGCGATCTTTACACTTCCTTGCAGTTTATATTTCAGCTCGTGTTTCAAAATAGTTCCCATGAGAGAACATAATAGACTATTCAGCGTTGCTGCATGAAATATTAGAATTTTATTAAATCCTTTGAAGTTAATTATGGAAGTTAAAACTTTGTGGAAAAACCAATATTGTAACATAATTTTATTTGTGCCAGCGACTTGGTGCGCTAAGAATATTTATTTTTGGCATTTGTTTTTTGCAAACTCCTTGTTTATAAAATTAAACCGTAACCCACGACGTAGGTCGCGTCCCTTCTCGTCGTTCTTGCAAGTTAATCTTAACAGATAGACACACAGCGTCGCGGACTTCGATTTAGATTACTTAAAGAGGAATCATTATCTCATGCATATTTTTTGGATATCTTGAACCGCTTTTGCAGCGTACGCCTCGAAAACCTATAATGATGAATGTATCTTCGCTTGCATTACACAAAAATAATTTTTCAATTCGAACATAGTTCCTGAGATTAGCGCGTTCAAATAAACAAACAAACAAACTCTTCTGGTTTATATATTATTATAGATTTTATGTATACAACTATATACATTTTTCTAATATAATAATCTCGAACCTTTTAGTAGCTGACTATATTAGCCTAACTTTTATATCGAAGATAGATAAGACAATTGCACAATGATAATTAATCTTACGATGAGTACGATATTTATTTCAGAATCCTGAACTTTGCACTCAGATTTAAATACAAAATAATTAATACCTATTGCAGAAGTTCAAACGCTGGCTCATTATGACTCACACGTGGTAATAAATTAGTAATTCGCTTCGTCAGTCTGTGAAAATGCAAAAAAGTAGGTATTTAATTTAATGTAAACTATTAATATGAAAATTAATTTACATATAGGGAACAATGAACTTTCTACGTAAAACGGGCGATCAATTTTAAGTGAGCAGTTTATATGATAAATTAAGTGCCAGTAAACAAAGATATAGTGCTTAGTAATTTTACAATTAAGTGGTAAACAGCTAACGCTGTTGTCTATTTCATAATTTGAATTTTCATATCTCCCAATCCTCTTTTGTTTATAGTAAGTGAAATCCCGTTTCCCCCCAAGGGACATGTGATGGACATATTTCTGTGTCCGTTTCACTGATCGTTTCTTTTACAGGCAAGTAGTTAAATAAATTTAAAGGCAAGTAGTTGATCAGAATTCTGTGCCCCGCCTAACCAAAACAATCTACTGTTTCCCCGGGCTTCAAATCCAGGACCTCTTTTTTGGCCTCTTAGGCGATCTATTTAGTTTAATTGCAAAAAAGAAGTCAATATGCCAACTATTTTCAAAACGACTTATATATACAATTTTTCTCACTATAAATCAGTCCTAAATTACATTTTTAAAATCTTTCTGCCATGTCCCAAAAAAATGTTTAAATAACCGAATTTTAATTTCAAATACTCTACGACTTAGTACTAACGTAAAATCATAAAGTTGAAAACTCTTCTAATTCCCGTAAGCTTGGTGCAACATTAAAGACAAACAGTGAAACGGGTTTGCAACCAACGAATGCCATAATAAAAAGTTGCTCAAGGGACGCTTCGAGCTAAATGATGCGACGGCTGGAGCGGCCAGCGTGGAAACTACCTAGATTATAATTAACTGTTACCTTTCGACAGATACTAGCAGTTATACTTATTTGTGGACGCAACTGGCCAGTTACTATTATTTTGTGTCACGTGACAGTAAATAAAAAAAAACAAAAGATGAATCGAATGACGTTCAATCCGAAGCCGAATTTCAAACTATAGGTTCATTTTTGTTTGGCAATATAAGTAATAGCATAAGTATAATATAAATAAATAAAAACATATTTCTAATTAAGATAGGTACTTGTAGACGTTAAATGTGCATATTTTTGAATTAAAAATAATAACAATGTACACCGAATAAAAGATGATTATTTTGCCAGCCAACTTTTGTAAAAGAATATATTGTGTTACAATTACTTTGGTGCTAGGCGATTTCCAGTAATTCATCCGAAAGATGTTTTAGTTGCTGAAAATCAGATAAAATTATAGCTCCCTAGTTTTACTTAATTCTGTAAATTATTGTATGTCAGAACTTGACATTTTATAGAGAAACATACCATTATTTCTTAAAACGCACGATTCCATTTCATTGAATACGCTCACAAGTAAAGACTTGCGATCGCGTATTTACACGACTGGTCGCACGAACAAGCTCTTAAAATTACAACTTTTTGCGTTTGTTCACCGTTCTGGCTGACCACTTATTTTTTAGCACTTCCTCGCCAAAATTAATAAATATACATAGATATACTTTCAGACCTGTTTAACTCGTCTCTCGTGGGTCTTGGATGGTATTTTTTAATATTATAGAAACGGTCCGAATCCGTAGATTATCTGTCTAGACTCTAGAAGGTAGGTATCAACCAAAGTAATTGTGATGAAATATTTTCATCTATTAATAAATGGCGTAAAATTAATAAATGTATCGCATAAGTAGTAATCACAATAATTTATATTTTAGTTTTTACAGTAGGTAATTGATGTAATAATGTTACTCACCGTAATTGAATATAATTTAATAATATATTCTATCTCTGATAGGTATTCCTTTCCTATTCCTTTATTTATTTATATTATTAGGATTTTTAAATATAAAAGTACATGTTATTTTACATTCGTCACAAAATATCTTTTCGGTAATTATATTTAAGACTATTTCTTCTTCTTGGAACAAAGTTAAAAAGTCGACGATTAATGAAAGGACTTTTTTCATTTTTGTTGTACTGCTCTGGCAACAACACAGCATTATCAACACTTGTAGCAGAAAAAGCGCTTTGTAAATTTATTGAGTGTTTCTTCTACTTTAACGATTAAGTTAAAATAAAAAAATTAAGAAAAACCTAGGAAAGATTAAAAATAAACATGCAATGTCATACCTTACTAATAAAAAGGACACTGCGCGGTATAATATTAGACTTGCGCCTTTAAAATAAATCAAGTTTAGTAATAAGCGCGAAAGGCGCTGATTTGGTAACACGGCAATAACAAAACAGACTCCCGAGAATGGACGATAGCATCCGAGAGGACTCGAATCATTCCAAAACGTGATCGTGCTGTTTGATTTGAAAACAAAATTCAGCCGCTCGCTGCCGGCGGGTGTTCTCGTTGAACCGAATTGCAGGCTCAGTGCGCGAGCAAGCGTGATACGGAATGAACGTGTGGTGCGTTTTGCGCGGACGTTAAAATTGCGATTTATTTTTTTTGTTTTGCGATTTATACAACCAGAATTTAACACGTTTTGGAGTATAAAGTCGGACATATAGAAAGTTTTTGATGTCCCCAGTTTACTTTTACGCAGTTCGCGCAAAGTTTTTGACCAAATTATTTGTGAATTTCCGTATAGACGCTTAAGACAAGTGAAAAAGACATTTCGAATAAAATTAACCCTTTTGTACATTTTCGCAACAGTTGCGAAATTGTGTTCAAAAAACACTGGCAATTGTGGAGGGTGAGACTTAAAAAAACCGTCCTCAGCCAACTCGTTCGGATTCAAACTGTGGTCAGCGAACGAAAAAACAAAAACGCGTCGAAACATTTCTCATTGCAACTTCAAATTTTGTAGCGACTATTTGAAAATTCTTGTTCATCGTGAACTTTTCTACGCATTTCATAAATTATAGTGGATTACCAACGTTACGTTCGTGTCTTGGTGGATCATTTTGCGATTTAGAAGCGCTCACCTACATAAACCCTGGATATCCATTAGTGCCTTCGTGGTTTTTACATAATGTCTACTGCCATAATGCATCAGTCTGCGCTGTACGACTTTGGTGATCTGTTCTTGAAGGTAAGATTCATATTTGTCTATATTAGCATAAATATACTTTACGGCCCATGTGGGTAATTCCTACATCTTACTACAAATAATATTGTAAGATATCAAATTTATTTCAAAGATAGGACCAAAAACCGTTGTTAAAATTTAAATTAACTGTTGCGTTGGTCAGACTAGATCGATGCATAAAAAAATAATATAATGTTAGTGCTTATTTCTGTCTTAACCTCGAAAATAACAGAAATTGTAGTTGCTAATGTAACTTTTCGCATTTTAAATGTTAAATTACAAGTATAAAAAAAATCAAATGTCATAAATTCCGATCTTCAAAAAATCGTAACATGTCATTTACTTTAACCGTATTTCTAACTCCTTATGTACAAATGTCAAATAATAATTGAGTACAGATTCATTCAACTTTATAAGATCTTTTAATTACTTTGGTGTAAAATTAAATACATAATACAATAGAACTACAATATATAATATAGAATTACAATAGGTAGGTATAATTACACCGGACCGAAAGGTACCGGACCAAAAATTAATTTGTAAAATAAATACTTGTATGTTAGCTATTTAATTATTTATTGAATTATTGATATATGAATCCTAAAAGTGAAGCAAAATATGACCTCATTTTTTAAGGTCCAACTACGACGATTTGACATAAATAACCTAAAAATACTGGAGTTTATTGTCTATTGTTTTGTCACGTCTAAAGTCTATTATTATCGCCCTATAATAATAAGTAGGTAAATATAAAGTCAATAAAATGTATGTCAAATTCACATTGTGTCAAAAATAAAATCGATTATTTTCAATGGTTAGTTACCGAGACATGTGCTTATCGGCGGAATAATAAATGAAACATTTCGCGAATTGGTTCAACGTAAAAATGTTAGGTTATATTCTTGGTGAACATTCGTCTTAGAAAACCGCCAAGTCGGTACATAGTGCTATGTAACTGCGGGCTTTACAAGGTAAGTTGCTTTTCCCTCTGTTGCCTTATACTGCCTAAGTCAATGGTTCCTGCTACCGTAATTACAGTTTACGGAAAATCTCTCAAACCAGTATTAATAAGTGCACGTTGCTACAGATTGTTGCGCGACCAGTCTCAGTGTAAGAGAACACGTTAAAAATCTGATAGAACTAGTCGAATAGTGAAATAGAAAAGTAAAAGTTATCTTTGATTAATAGTCCTCTTTTAGGGCGTTAGGAATATTACAGCTAGTACATCCCTAGCAACGTTTACAGATATCGCAAAAAATCTATTGTTTTATTCAGTTAATGCAGCTCGATCAATGGTTTTTCATTAAAAACTACGATAGAGGAATAGATAGAATACGAAAAAACTACGATATCATTTGATATTATAAACTATAATAACTCGTGCATTAAAATGTAATCACTAATGAATAATTCGTGTATTATATGTAGGACAGATCGATTATAAAGTTATATATTACATAAACGGCATTATTCGTAGGACCTTATGTTATTACTTGACAAATCCTTTCAAATCTCAGCAGGGGTGAAGAGCAGACTCAACTAAGTGGTGTGACTGGTGTGGATCGCATTATGATACTCGCACGAAATAGAAAAATGTGCTTTCACTGATCGCAATAAGAACTACAGTCGATCGCTCTAGTATTTCATCTTTATTCGTGGTAGCAAAGTAAAACCGGTTCTATTGACTAATTCACATGGTTATAAATCGTTTGATTCTCTTTTACACTACCTGCTCACGGTTTTTGTGGTTTCTTTATATTGCGTACAGCCACTTGTTGCTTAGGGTTGTCCTGTTTTATATTCACCGAAGCATATAACTGCGGCGAGATTTGAGATCTTTCGTGGATGATCAAGACAAAATTCACCTATATTTTTAAGGGAATAATAACAGAGAACGTATTTACCTATATAATGGGCACTATAAGTAGGTACGTTTCATTTGGTTTTTAGCGTACAATAAATAATTTTAATTATTAATTAATTACCATTTTAGTGCAAGTGTGTCGACTAAAAAACATAATCAGACTTTATCAAAGCCGTTTTTATTTACCTAGAATATAGTGCTAGTTTTTTAGCAGTAGCAGTCTTAGTCATTTATGTCATCGTTCTTATTTTAGTGTGTATGTAAATTAAATACATTAAATTCGAATTTTGATGATCGTGGACATCAAAGTTTAAAGGTCTGATGCTCAAAGGTTTTTGTGAAAACGTTTTGAGCTCGATTCAATTGTCAACATTAATATTAATTTGTCGAATGATACGAGGCCAGCTTTGAAAATTATTTCGGTATAAATACTTGTGTTGTGATTAGAATACTTTAAATTGGAAGCCAAAGTTGACCGCTGACTTGTCCTTTAAATGTGTTCGTTTCATTCTTTAGTTGACATTACGTATTATCCTTGGACAACCTTAGGACGGTTTAATCGTCTTGTCACTTTATAATACTATTAAAATCACTTGTAATTATTTCGCTCACGAAATCGATCGACAGTGGGAATTTTGAAAGGTGCACCGTGCCCTCGCCTCTTTTTGTGTTTGAGTTTTGGCCGTTGAAAAGCATCTTAACCGTTGTGCTCTTAAATACACCTACAACCGTCTACCTGCTTATTTACAATACTCGCCATTATATTGATTTTTTTTACTACTTGCCAGACGAGATAAAAAGCCCTTTGTCCGTAGATAGAGCTTTGTTCGAATTTCTACAAGGTTGTCCCATAACCGAGGGATGGATAAACAATTGGAAAGTAACAGGCAGATTTGCTTTTTGTAGTTAATTTATAACGCTTAAGACAATACCTATGCTTAAAGTCTTTTGAAATGTGATTTACGCTTCTCACTAAATCTTTATAATAACATTAATTGAAACTTCAATATAATGTTTGAAGCAACTTGTTTTACTCGAGTAAGTATTCGATTAAAATCTTCGATTGTTAGTTGGTCAGTAATCCACATAATCGCTAGGGTATCGGAGCGTGTTATCGCGCTATGCATTATGTGGAATAGCGCTATACCTAAACCATAACAATAATATTTGCAACACTATTGAAACATTAAATATTTTCCATGTTACCCTGCCGCTGTGTATTATGTATGTACAGTTAACTACAATTATTATTATACTAACTACCTTTTGTATTTCATTTGTAAATTTATCCCATTCAACTTACATCGCCACATGTTGTTATGATAAAATTGCGTCTGCGGATCGCTTATTCAATGCCAAATTTCGGAGTTATCTGCTAATTCACATTATCTGTTCAATTTCGACTCGAAACGAACGCTCGGTATAAGCCCGGTATGAATGTAAATGCACACATTACGTTGACCCCGCCTTATCGCAGATAATCATATCATTATTTTTGTTATCACAAGATTTTTCCGACGACACATCATAGTTCAAAAACCTCAAATGCAAATATTAAGCGTGCGTTTGTAATCTTCGTGAGTACAAACTTTCCGGTTTTCGCAATCTGTTAGGCTTCTCAAACGGCCGGTTCTGGCTTCGAGTCGCCTCCGTTTCCCAACTGCTAGGTAGGCATTGCAGAAACCTTCGAGTGCAGCGCAAACAATACGCGTCGGTCGTGGGACCTGGTTTCCGATTATTTCCTTCCATGCGGCGTTGGCGAAATCTCATTTCGCGTGGGACGAGGCTGTACCAGAGACGAAGCTTCGATAGTCAAGGTCTGTTTTTCTTTCAGGCAACACTAACTTCACATATTAGCTATCGCATTAAGTATTGCGTAGATTACATCCAGTACGTTACGAAATGAGTTGCCGTAGTGGAAACTACTTCTAGTCTAATGCAACCGGTCGATGTTACCCGATTAACGCATCAGCGCACTGAGTACGATTTCAATCTAATTTTGAAAACGTAACCTGCTCGTTAATAATCACATTTTTATTATCCGAATGACTTAATCTTGAGACACTAGTCGAATAATTTGGGACACATCATCGTAAATGAGTAATTCTTACATAGATTATCTTTAGTATGAATAATAGTGTTATCGTAAGCTTTAGTCCTTTTACTCATTGCGGATAAGTAAACCCTTTATGCCCTAATCCTGGTCTCTCTCATCTCGACGCGCTACGTTCTTACAGCAAACATGAGCCGAGACATCTATTACCAAATATGAATATTGTTTGAATTTTTAATATGTGGTTCGCCTTGAACGAACTTCGTTAACACTGAAGATTCTATTGCGCTAAGGTTTCGACAGTTGGTATAAAACAGGGGACTTTAAATTAAAGTCAAATGTAACCCGACCCTGATACGCGGCTATTGCGACAATCTTAACACCCACGTGTTAGGTGAAGATTCGACTTCACTCGGTTTAGTTAGGACTATGTAACCGTCGACGCGATTTCATAATAGTTAAATTGAAATAGTCTAGAATTAAAAACTAGTTATCACTCCGCAACCAGTTTCAAGTGAATGTCATCAATAGATGTCGCTAATTGTTTTAGCAGCAAATGTGAGAGTTCATTGCCGCGAGGACGGTGACGAATGCCGCCCACGCGCAAGATTATACATTATGCTAGAATAGATATTATTTTCATAACGCCAAGTGTCGATCTTGTGATCAATAATTTCGTACCGATCGTAAACTTTGACTTTCGTCCTCACATTAACGTTAGATATCGGAATTAATTCCGACCGATGCAATGCAAACTTTGACTTAGTGCGCTCCTGATAAGCAGTCGCGCTCACGTGTCGAAGACTATTATCGCAAATCGTTAACGTGTTTTGTTATTAAACGTGAATTTTAAATGTTTCGCATTACACAGATCACGTTGCAAAGTATAAAGCATTTCGCCCGGATAACTTGACATTTGTGCGTATTCTTCGCGAGAGCCTGGAAAACGTTTGCGTGTTTGAACACGGCTTTAAAATTAAGAGTTCAAACAAGTTAATAGTCGCAGTGAGTACTTAAATACATTGATAATGCATATCTGAGGTCTTATGTTGGAGTGCAGTGCATAAACAAAGGGTGCTGTGC